TCCTACACCCCAGAAACGCAGATTCTCGAGTGGATGAAGGTCAAAGGAGAAGCGATGGATGGCATGATTGTCATGTTCGCGCCCGGCAAGGGTGATCGAGAGGCTGGAATCAAAGCCATCAAGGACTTCGGCATCCCCAATGCCTTCCTCGACTTGACCATGAAAGCAAGCGTACGCTTCAAGCAGTCGGATTTCGTATCCTCATTGCTGGATACTGTGGAAATCTTAGATGAGATCTACACCACTGATATGGGCTTCGATCCGAACCCTTGGCGCACGGAAGAGAAGATCAATTGCGACCCAGGCAAAGGAGAGATCAGCGTGAACCTGGTGGACCTGATGGAGTTTCTCGACCTGAAGCCTGACGGGACCATGGATGACAAGAAAATGAAAGAAGCCGAGGACGCTTTTCGCACGTGGAAGGAATCAGATGCCTTCAGGCGTCGAGTTGTGGGAATTCTCACAGAAGAAGGAAGAGGAGTGGCCAACTACAAGGACTACGGTGCCTTGTCAAGATGGTTGCGCAAGCACTTCCCACAAGATGAAGAATATCGAGTCTTAGTCCATGCCCATGGTGGTGATGGAAACACCCAGGACGCTGCTAGCGTCGAGGCGGTCCTGGAAGGAGCAAATGGGGTGTGGGCAGCAGTCATTCCACAAGCTGCTCAGTCTGGGCACAACTCCAGCATGGTCTTCCTTGACAACATGCTGCAGATGGGCAACGGGCATGTTTTGGATGACTTCTGGCTTCATCAGGCCGCTCAATGTGCCCGTCACATCTACTCCCTAAACTTCAATAGCTATGCCATCCCCGACGATTGTCCCATCTGGGGAGCCAGAGTTGATCAGCTGCTTCACACGGCTTTCAGCACGGTCTCAGGAGAGGAGTGGCGGCAGCGACGTTGCAAATATTATGATATTTGGGGAGATGACGCCACTCGATTTGGGATTCAGAAGTATTTCGTGTGCAGTTCTGTCTCAATGCCCTTTTTCGGGAGTCACATGCATCATCAACAATTGTTTGCCTTTTCTCCGTCAATTTCTTCTGTTTGTTGATCTATTTTGTAACACTTTCACCTCCCACTGTGTTTCACTGCTTGATGAGTTTGGTCGCAAGGCAAGAGCGCAGATTGGTCGAATGACCAAATCCACAGATCTGCAACACAAAGTGGCGATGCTGCGGAGCCTATCCCGCGGAGGAAACTACCGAATCTCACCACTCGTGTCTGATGTTGAGACATGGCGGAAGCGCATTGTTGAACTCGGAGTGGCTCGGCTGCGTTCGTTTGACCATGTGGGTTGGAAAGATGATCCGTTATGTTTTTCATGATAAGATGCTGTGCACTGACATGGTTGCATGAATTCGGGTGCGTTTTGTTTCGTTTGGACCTTCGTCAATGGCCCAAAACTTTCCTTCGCCGACGTGAAGCTGAGGCAGCTGTGGTTGGACCTAGGGGACGGGCAGGAGATCACGTGAAAGAAGTCCGAGATCTTGGCTTCGCCCTGATGAACGCGGGTATTCGAGCAAACATGAACGAGGCAGCCACCCTGAAGCAGCTCTGGGACATCGCAACACGCAACAAGACAGAGAAGATCAGGCCAGTTTGGCAAATTGTTCATTAGGCTTCTGACTTTTCGTACGCAAAAAGTGACGGCTTTCTCCATATGCATTGTCCTAGTTCTTGCTGCCAGGTGTGACCAGGTTGCTGGATACTTGAAAGCTCAACAGCACCAAGGAGAGAAGGAGTAGGGCCTGTGTAGGGAGTTGTTTCAGCGCAAGTGCTGAGGAGAGCGAGGGGCCTCCCAGTGTGCGATTCGTTTTGCAGGATTTTGCCACTGGCAAATCATGTCAAACCAAACTCTACGATCTTTGCACAAAAAGATTTGTATTGTGATTCACACTTCTTGCTGTTGTTCGTTGTTTGTATGTCTTCAACCCAGTAGAACTTCTCTTGCAACCTTGAAAAGGCGACTCTAGCAGCCCC